ATAATTTAGTAAAGATTCTAATCTTTATGTTAATGTACCCAATCTGTCATTGTCTTCTCTAAATCTGTGGATGGTTTTATTCAAAATCAGATTTACAATATATGTGATTTTTCTATAAAAAATTTGACTTAGAATTATTTGAGAGTTATTATTAAACCCTCTATGCAGGTTATGGTTGATTGTCATTTTCTTATTGTCAAATTATATAAGCAGTTGGCTGGTTGAAAATAGAAGTTATTATCTGCTGCTAATAAATTACAATTTATTAAGTTTACTGTTTTTATCTATTAGGTATTTTTTTCGCTTTATTGTTTTACCTAAAAGTTTGAAGAAGAAAATTGCTTCTATGATTTCTAATTTTTTTTTAAATAATGGCAATAATAAAAGACTTCATAGTATTATTTGGAGTATTAGTACCGTGCTTATGCATAATGGTGGTCTTGGTATCTCTTCTTTGGATAATTTAAATGTTTTGTGCAATTTTATAATGATAGCTCGTATCTTTCTACATAGTGTTTGTCATTAAGGTTTTATTTGAAATTATTCTTATGCTTCTTTCCCATCCTTTTGGAAATAATTTGTTATTATTGCTCAAGAACGAGGAATTGTCTAAAGTTTCAAGTTAACCATCATAGTCATTTATCCTTCCTTTATGACCATTGCTTTAATGTTTCATCCCTCAACCCTCAAAAATCATTATGGTGATATTATTTTTAGATGGTTTAATCTTTTTTAGCATTTCCTTCTCAAAGATGTTATTGTTAATGGTAGATGGAAAATTTCCAATTTTCATAATGTTTCCGATTGTTGTCTTACTACTGTCTTACTACTTTTAATAACATTCATATTATTTATGATGAGACTTATCTCTAGAATCAGAAAATATTTATTCCCTTAAGATTGTTTATTTTTCTCTTTATGATTATTTTCTTTGTGCTGACTGGTTTAAATTTGTATGCTATAAAGAAAACTTTATTAAGTTTGCCCATCACACTTGAAAATTGTTCATAAAGGTTTGAAGACTTGTGACATTTTTTCTCTTAGATGAATGAAAGTAAAAAACGAATGTGTACCTAATGAGAATTTCTTTATTGCCTCTGCCAATATTTTTCAAGTTTAATATCATTTTAATAGTATTTTTTGCAAGATCCATAAAAGATTCCATCCTTTAGTTTTGCAAGTCAGTTTATTATATTTGGTTTGAGAGAAATTCGAGAATTTTCAAGAAAAATTCCTGCATTTTTTATATGCAACTGGATGATTATCCATAAAAGTAGGAAATTGAATATTAAGATAAATTACTGATAATTTTAGAATTTTTTATAATTTTAAAAATTTTGCGCTCCTGTTTTTTATTTGTTTCTTTTTCCTCTTTTCATTTGTTTTGGTTGATTTGAGTTTTAATGTATTTTTACTGTTAGTGGTGTTAGGGTCTGTTGTTTCTATTTCTTTTTCTGTTCTTTTGGATATTTTATTGATATATTGGATACTATTCTTGCTTCTTGCTCTTGCAGCTGTTTTTGGTTTTGCTATGATTTACCCAGTCCTAATTTTGATAAGTATTCGTTCTTTTCAATGTTTTTCCTGGCTTTCAACCGTCTAATGAAGCTTTACTTATAGCTATGATTTTACATTTCTCTCATTTTATGTAGTGACTGTGTTCGGATCTTTTTTTTTTTTTTCTTAAGAATCATGTCCTTGTTGCCTTAAAGAATTTTTTGTTGAGAGATTTGCTGATCATCCTTGCTTGGATTTAAATTTCTTTGAACATGGTGGGATTCTCTTCGTTTTGGATTTGAGTTTGGTTGAGTTCTTCATGTTTTGGCTTTCTATTTTGTTTGTTGTTTTTTGTAGTTTTTTTTTTTTTTTTGTATTTTATTTTACTGTTTTTTTTCTTTTTGGGGCTCTCCTTTTGTTTGTTTTGGTTGGCACATTCCTATGATGCTGATTAAAGATCTAGCTGCTATTTTCTTCATTTATGGAGCTTATTTGAAGGATGATTAGATGGATTGTTGCTGATTGGCTGTTACCTGCTTACTAATAGATTGATTGTTTTGAGCCGTGAGTCGGGAATTCATGCCTAATGCTTGGATTGTTGTTCCTCAAATCTTTTAGAGGTTGCTTGATTCCATTGATGTTGTTGCTTTGTGTTGGGTGTGATCTGTTTCTTCATCCTGGCTTCTGTCTTCTCTTTCTGAGCTTTCATTTGAAGCTCCTTTTTCTGCTTATTGTTGGTTCTTTCTTTAGTCCTTGTAGTGTCCGCGCATATACCTAACTTTTTAGAAGTGAAAAGTATTTTTCATACATTCATGCATTAGGATTTTAAACAGTGTTATAAATATAAATATCAAACTTTAGGTGTTAGATGTGTAAATGCATAAGCATAAGAATTGTTATATGTAAATTTCCC